GCCGGCCGCCGTCCGCTCACCCCCTGACCGGGTCAGGAGGCCGCAGGGGTGCTCGGCCAGCTGGAGGGGCTGCAGCCGGGCGACGATGAACGGGTCAAACAGGCCCTGCAGCACAAGTCCGGGCTGACCCCTGGGACGTGCAGGGAAAAGTTCCAGGGGGCACAGAAGGACCCTACGGAGGCCTACGTGGCCCTGGCCCAACAGGCCCTGCAGCACAAGTCCGGGCTGACCCCTGGGACGTGCAGGGAAAAGTTCCAGGGGGCACAGAAGGACCCTACGGAGGCCTACGTGGCCCTGGCCCACCTGGCGCAATACTGCCGCAAGTGGGTGTTTGGGGCCGGGGCCCAGACCGCAGGGGACCTGGTTAAGCGGATGGTCTTGGATCAGTTTTCCACAGTGTGCTCGCCTGACCTGAGGCGGTGGCTCAAGGACCAGAAGCTGGAGGACCCCTACGGTGCAGGGAAGCTGGCTGATGAGTTCATGGACGGCCGGTCCAGGTGTGAAAGGGAATCCTGGGGGGACTAGTTCTTGGGGCGAACCCAGGAAGGGGGGCCCAGCAGTTCTCCCCCAGAGGGCCAGCCAGTACCTGGGCAGAGCAGCCGGCCTGAAGGGACCCACAGGACCTGACCTGCCATCGCTGCGGGCAAAGGGGCCACAAACGGGCTCAGTGCCCCAAGCCCCTGGACAGGCCCCACAACCAGGGTTAACTGGCTGGGGCTCGGGGAGGAGCAGGCTGAACCCAGGAAGGGGGGCCCAGCAGTTCTCCCCCAGAGGGCCAGCCAGTACCTGGGCAGAGCAGCCGGCCTGAAGGGACCCACAGGACCTGACCTGCCATCGCTGCGGGCAAAGGGGCCACAAACGGGCTCAGTGCCCCAAGCCCCTGGACAGGCCCCACAACCAGGGTTAACTGGCTGGGGCTCGGGGAGGAGCAGGCTGCCCTGGGGGCGGGGGCTGGCAGGCCACCCTCAGCTCAGGGGTGGGAGGCTGCTCAGGCCAGCTCCCCTGGGAGACCTGACACTCCGGAGGCAGGTCTCTCCGAGTACCGGGTGGGGCAGGGCGGCCCCTGCGGAGCACGAGCCTCCTGCCCCTGGAGGTGGAGGGCAAGGAAGTGATGGGCTACTGGGACATGGGGGTGGAGGTGACGCTGGCCCATCCTGAGCTAGTGGCCCCAGACCACACGGTGCCCGACACCCACGTGACCCTGACAGGCATAGACCCCGTTCAAGGTGCCTGTGGCTCAAGTGCATCTGAAATGGGGGGGGTAAAGAGGGCCCCAAGGAAGGGGGTGCACCGGGACCTTACGGATTGGCCGGAAGGACCCCACAGTGCCCAGAACCAGCGAGGGGCCCGTGTCCCTGCCCATGGGGCCGGCTCCTTGCAAGGGGGGGAGGGCCCCATACCCAGGCAGTGAGGGGGAACAGGTCCCCGTCCCTGCCCCAGCGGCTGAACTCCAGGCCGAGGGGCAGGCAGACCCCTCCTTGCAGAGGCTGAGGGACCGGATGGGCCTCGGCACAGCTCAGCCCTGGGGGCGGCTGCTGGGAGAGGTTCCTTGGGAGAGGGGATTCCTGCACTGGGAATGGCTCCCCCAGGGAAAGTGGGGTCACGGGGGGTCCAGTGGCAGCTGGTGGGTCTCCAAAGGTACCGCACAGGCTGCTGCACCTGGCCCATGTGGTCCCGCCATGGGATCCCGCGCACCCAACAGAACTGTTACTGGCCGGGGATCTTCGCGGCCGTGCAGCGATACTGCCAGAGCTGGGGAGACCCGGGAGAGGAGGAAAGCTTCTTTGAGGCTCTGCCCATCATAGAGGAGCCTTTCCAGAGGTGGCGATGGCTCTAGCAGGTCCCCTCAGCAAGGCGACCCGGACGGGGAAGAAATACATCCCGGTAGTGGTGGATTACGCTACCTGCCACCCCAAGGTCGTGGCTCTACCATTTTCAGCAGGGGGGTCCCCCAGGAGTCCTCACGGACCAGGGGTCCCACTTCATGTCGGCCCCGCTCCGGTGCTGGTGGGAGACGCACGGGGCCCGGCTCACCTGGACCCCAGCGTATCATCCCCAGACCAACGGGCTGGTGGGGAGGTTCCAGGGGACCCTGAAGAGGATGCTGGAGGCCTTTATGCTCCGGCACCCGCAGGACTGGGACAAGTATCTGCCCCACCCGCTGTCTGCACACAGGGAGATGCCCCAAGAGGCCACCGGGTTCTCCCTGTGTGAGCCATGGTGCAGAAGGGGGAGGGGACCCCTGGGCTTGCTGAGAGAGTTCTGGGAGGGGGAGGCCTACCTGGATGGAGCGTCGGGGGTGGGGGACGTCCTGGCTTTCCGGGAAAGGCTCGCGGAGCTCGTGCTGGGCCAGCAAGACCCTGGCAGAGCCCGAGGGCAGCAGAAGGGCTGGTACGACCACAGCACAAGGGCCCATGCCAGCACCAGTGGGGCCAGGAGATGGGTGTGATGGCGCGTTGGGGTTCCCCCCGATCCTGCAGCCCCATAGCAGCCAGAACAGACTCCACCAGCCAGTAGAACAGGGGGGCTATTGCTTCTCCAGGACACGGCCCAGCACAGCCGTGAGGTGGCTACAGGAGTCAGGGCCAGGATGCCTCAGCCCCCTTGGGTTATGGGTCCATCGCCCCTAGACCCTCAGTCCTCAGCTTAGGCTGCTCCCTTCATGTTCCCAGCCAGCTCCTGCTCCTTCCCTGAAACCTCCCTGCCTTTGTTCCCGCCCTGCCCTCAACTGGTCGGACGGGTCGGGTCTTTGCCTACCTGACCTTCCGCAGCCGTCCTGCTGGGCCGTGCTCCAGATGCCGGTCAGTAGGGGTCAGCCCCAGGCCCAGCGTGTATGGCCTGCCCACTACATCGCAGCAGGTCTCAGCCCCGTGCAGAAGAACAAGCTGCAAGCAGCCTGGGCCGGCCCCTTGCAGGTCACCAAGCAGGTGAATCCTGTGGTGGAGCTGTCCGGCCGGATGCGCAGCCAGCGGGGGCACCATGGCCGTACTGGGGCAGGGAGAATGTGGTGCTGGCCGTGTGCAGGAAGACGCCCCCCTCGTGGCTGGCCTCTCTGGAGTCAATTTCCCACCCAGACCAGCTCACCCCACCCAGCAGGCCGAGATCCGAGAGGTGCTGTGCTCCCGCCAGCAGCTGTTCTCCGACAAGCCTGGTCTCACCAACCTGGCTGTCCACCGGGTGGAGACAGGCACCCTCTGGTGCGCTGCTCCCCGCTCGGAGCCACGGAGAAGACGGCCCAGGACCTGGAGAGAGAGGTCCAGGACATGCTGGCGCTAGGGCAGATCCAACCGTCCTCCAGCCCCTGGGCCTCTCCCGTGGGGCTGGTCCCCAAGAAGGATGGACACTGGGCTGGGGTGGGGCTGATGCAAACTGATCCCAAGTGGAACAAAAGGCAGGACGATGCAGCACTTTAAAGACAAGCAAGATGGCGCCGAGCGGCTGCCCTGGGAGCTGAGCGACATGGCCAGAGAGCAGGCGGCCTGGCCCTGGGGTGGGCCTGGGGAAAGCTGCAGCCGTGTCTGTCTGGGCGGTGTGTCACCGTGCCCCTCCCACCAGCCTGGCTGCACCAGATGACGGGCCAGCGCCAAGCCGCTGAGATGGAGCCAGCTCTGGCAGGACGAGGGCACGGAGTGTCCATGCGAAGGAGAGCACCGATGTCACAGCCGACACCTTCGCCTGGAGTGGGGCGTGGGACTTCCCCAGCCACCAGCTGAGTGATCCTGCTTGGATCGGTCTCAAAGGGGGGAGAGCTGTGCGGAAGCAGGGGCTGCAGTCACTGTTTGCCTTGCGGGGTGTCTGTGATTCTGCTGTCCTGGGCTGTTCTGTAATAATGCCAGTTGTGTGCGCGCCTCAGTTTCCCTGGGCATGGCAACACTATCTGGACAGGGAGGGGTTGGCAGGGCTGACCCCAGGCTGGGGACTAGAGCCTGGGGGAGGAGTCACTCTCGGCTGGTTTTAGGGTGAGAGAGGGGGTATAGAGCTGGAAGGGGGGGAACAGGGCCAGTGCTCCTCCCCTCCCCCCGGGAGGAATAGCACAGACGTCTCCTGGTTCCTGTGTTAACAGCGATCCCAGGCTGTGCTGGGTCCCTGGGAACCAATAAACCTTCTGCACTCCCTGCCGGCTGAGAGTCACCTCACCCCCCCCCGCCATTGCTGCCCCCTGGTCCCCACTCCCCCGGTGGGCAGGCGCATGGCCAGTGCGGATCCTGCAGCTGCACGTCCTGAGGGGGCGCAGGCGGCGCGGGACAATTTACCCGGTTTAAGAAAACGCTGCCGCACCTGCTGGACTGTCCCTTGTGAACCGGGACATCTGCTGGCCCGCCCGGGCC